CGTTACGAATGTGCATAAATGAAAAGTCTTTTTGCATACAGACTATCACAGCTCATTGGACATTGTCTATTTACTGTTTTGGCTTCCGCCATGCCCCTGTACTCTATATTATTGCTTGATTATTAAGCAGGCCTTCAATAATCACGGATTACTGGCCGGTTACGGTGCTAAACCCATAGGGGCGGGTTTGGGTCGTGACAGGTGTTTACTCTATGCTTCCACATATCCATGATATCGGCTTAAACTGAAGGGGTTGGACTTCAGAAGGGTGTGTTTCTAAGGGGTATTATAGACCTCGGCTAAAGCTTAAAAATACACAGGATATGTGGGGAATCGTTTCAGTTTTCCCTAGACAATAGTTCAGAGTTCTACAAACAAATCCCAAACCTAGATCTATGGAAACGAAGATTGAAGGCACGAATCTGGAAAACAGAAAAGCAAGAATGCGCTTCAAAATCAAGAACAAAGATGGACTACCAAGAACATTGTAAGTACAAAAGGGTATAAAGTCAAGAACAGTGGCAAAAGTGCAGAAAAGTTGTGAGCAGTGCGTGTATTCAAGACATGGGCAAGGGGCAAAACCGTGAAATAAACACACTCAGATATATGATTCGCAAATTGAATGTTTGAACAAAGCAGTAATGGCAACGAGTAATAAAGAGCATCAAAAACTGAAATTAGGAAAAATAGTAAACTCACCGAAGAAAAGAAGCCGGTGTTGAGTTCGCCGAAGTCAGACAAACGACAGCTGCAGAAAAGATTAGCAAGAACCTCGCCGGAGGAGGTAGACGGAGCAAGTTGTAGAGCTTTAGAAGCTTGAACAATGGAGGATTTGGAAGAAAAAGCTAGAGAGAGTGAGAAAGCCTCATAAACGATGGAGAAAAGTGAAAAAATAAGGAAAGTGGGAAAAAGTTTTGTTAAAACTTGAAACGGCGGCAAAACATAATTAATGAGCCTAGATCGACGGATTTGTCAGATGGCGCACACAATCAGAATTCGACTTACAAGCGCGTAACAAGTACGATCCAGTAAGGGGAAAGCACGTGGCCTAAACGGTTGAGTTATTATGTATAACAGCTTATACGTGTGAAGAAGCTCTTCGAATTTTTGATTTTAAAGAAGACATGTCGGCCTGTAATAATGATCTCGGTTGAAGCCGAAGTACTGGCAAGAAGTACCAATATAGGTTCCATCACCTCAGAATGTCGAGGTAATAGAACCTAGGGGGCAGTTGTGGGGATATATTTTCTGAGTACCAACACGTGGCCAAGGTGACGCCGACGTGTCAGCCGATGTGCCACGTGTCCTAGTCATGACGCCGAGGTTATCTCGGCACGACCGAGATTATCTCCGAAGATATCGGAATCCGAGATAAGCGGATAGGGCATAAGAGTCCTAGAATGATGAGGGGACTCAGCCTGGATAAGGATAAAGCTCTTAGGGAGTTTATCTCTATCTGTTAAAGAGTCCTGGATAAGCACTGAGCTAAAGTCCATTGAAGCTAGGCTTCTGTTGGGACAAGGATTAAGTTAACTATAAAAGAAAGGCACCGCCGATGGGTATAAGGTACGCAATTTATATTTAGAACAGAGAGTTTAGCAATTGATTATCTTTGAGAGATATACTGACTTGATCGTCGGAGTGCCCCCAGGTGGACGAACCACCGTCAGAATCTTCTCTTTCTGTTGCAGGTCAGCCAGGTGCCATCTATTCTGCCAGCACTCTCCAGCTGAATACTGAGTTGGCAGTGTGGCCAGAAAATCACTCACACACATGTTATGTTAATGAAACATCAAGTTTGATTTCACATAATTGACATGCTTTTGGGCCTTGATTTTTGCGAAATGATCTTCAAGTCATGATATTCTACAAGTTTCTAATTGTTTTCTTAAGTTTTGGCCTAAGAGGATGAGTTTTGATGTGTTAAATTCGAGTTTTGAGCGTGGGAGTGCAATCTAAAAATTCCAAAATGCGCTCGAACGACAGATCATGTGCTCGAGTGACCACCTTTATTTTTGAACCTCTGCTCGAGCAACCAAAAGTTGGCTCGAGCGTAAATTGCATGCTCCTAGAAGTTTCTATGTTTTGTAGACCACTCAAACGACAAGAGTTGCGCTTGAGTGAAGACCTCAGTCTCACACTTGAGCTACCGTCGAGCGAAAAAATCAAGCAACTAGTCCTTTTGCAAAGTTTACAGACCGCTCAAGCAACCAGAATTGCGCTTGAGCGACCTCTCACATTTTTGAACGTCTGCTCGAGCGAAATAAGCTGTGTTCAAGCGAGGACCCTGTTTTTAGCAAATCTGTCTAAGTATTGAACAACATGTTTTGGCATCCTCATTGTATCCTAGACATTCCTAGTCTGAGATTAAATATAATAATGAGGATAAGGGCTAGAAACACACTAAGAGCAAAATAAGATAAGTTAAGTACGACTCGAGCATGTGTTTCAATATGTGTATCTGTTATGTTTGTGTAGGTCACGTGCCGTGAGCTGTTGATCCATTGGTTGCTATCAAAGCTATCTATGCAGTTATCTGTGAGTATTAACTTAGTAAAGCTATGTTTGATATGAAAATACTTTTTGAACACTATGATATGTTATGAATTGTTTCTAAATGATACAAAAGGCTATTTTGTGATCCATAACTTTGAAATGTATTTGCGGTATCCTTAGCAGAGGCCCTCACCCAGGAGAAATAATGCTGTGACTTTTGGTCATGAGGCCCTCGCCTAGAGGAAACAATAATGAGGCCCATGTATAAGATATGTTACCTGGTACCGGAGGTTCCATTATGGAACTTGATATGTGTTGACCAAAGTGATATGTTAATGCTAATGAAAGTATCACACATGATTTGAATACGAATAGGAACAAGACTCTGTTTTTGATACAACCATGCTTATTTCTCTGATTGATATGATACAGAACTGGACATCATTTATTAAAAACTTTACCCTATTATTATTCATTGAGCTTTTGCTCACTATTTATATTATGTATGTAGGTGACCAGATGCATGACTAGGCTCAGAGTTGATGACCTGGAGTCTCCGTTTTGTCGGCCAACTATTGTGCCTCCCGAGGAGGTTCCAGAAAGGGTTCAATGGTCGAGTTTTGTAAACCAAGACATAAGCTTAAGACTTTTGTTGTTTTGTGACTAGTTCTTTTGTTCTATTTTGTGTATGATGACAAGGTTGGATGGATGTCTATGACATTATATATGTATATATATACAAGGTTTTTAAATTATCTGTCCCATGTATGTCTACATAGCTCTATGAACTATGTATGTTTTTATAGTTATTTCTGCAGCCCCTTATTGTGTGATAATTTGTTCAGAGGCCTTTAGTAATCCAAAAATCACTGGCCGGTTACGACGCTAAACCTATCGGAGCGGGTTTGGGTCGTGACAGTTAGTGAAATGCTCTGATATCACTGTTAGAAAATATAGGTTACCTTAGGCGGAAAAACATCTACGCAGTAAGATCCGAAATCTTGACTTGTGAGCCCTTCTTGTTGCAAACTCCACATCAGTAGAGAGGCTATTAGAGTCTCCCTTATGGAACACACACTCCAAATTGGCAAGGTTGCTGATTCTCTATCATAGCATATTACTAACTCTTTTTCGCCTATTGTTTATTTTCGCCTCTTGATTAGTACGACATTGATTTGTTTATTGCTTATACTATTTGATTGATGCATCATTAATATTGTTTTATATTATGGCATATTCAAAGAGTTTTTTTTGGGGGGGGGTAATACACATACAACAAATGTTTTGGTACTCAAAAACAGAAAATAAAATTTCATTCTTTTGTAAATGCAATTGACATATTTAGATTGTACTCTCCATAAGATTTTGGGGTATTTTTTTTAAGGTCCCTGATATTATGATTTTATAGTATAAATGACATCAAATATTTTCATGATGTCGAAGGTCCCTCAATATCAATCTAGAGAAATTTCAGTCCCAGAGAAAATTGGTCCAGAGAAAATTAACGTCACAGAGAAAATTGGTCCAGAGAAATTCTGGAAAGAATTTCTTTGGACCAACCCAGAGAAAATTTAGTTCAAAAACCAAAAAATTTCTCTGGTTTCAACCCGGAGAAAATTCAGTTCAAAAACCAGAGAATTTCTCTGGTTTCAACTTCAAATGAAAAAAAAATTCAATTCACAATTTGGAACCTGGAATGCTTAACTTGGAACCCAGAGAATTTCTCTGGACCAGCATTGCTATTGCTTGTGGTGAACCCAACACAACTGCAATTGTTCCAGCACTTTTCCATACAATCGCTAATGCTTAAGCCCGAATTATCGTCACGGTCACTGGATTCGGCCGAGTTGGAAGTGAAGGCTCGGAGCAATAATGAGATGAAAAGGACTTTTACTTGACTACTTTGCCTCTTGTAGAACACAGAGATGCTGAGGTTTTGAACTCCAGGTTTATCTTCTTGTTCGACATCTTCATCAACCTCTATATCAGTAACTAAACAGCACAAATGCTGCACAAACTTTATTACCAAGAAACAACAACAATACCAAAAGTACACATGTACAAGAACACATCATTTGTGTAGTTGATAGATATATTACAAGCTGTAGAAGGGGAAATTGAATCAGTTTCTCTGGTCGAATTTTCTCTGGACTTCACAGAGAAATTCTAGTTTACAGAGATTTTCTCTGGTCCAATTTTCTCTGGACTTCACAGTTCACAGAGAATTTCTCTGGTCCAATCCTCAGACGATCATTTGTCCATTTTTGGCCAGATAAGAAACAGACAATGTAGATTTTTACCACTGTAGATGCCATCAAGAAGAGGCCAAAATTAAGGACTCAATATCATCAAATTCTAATGAATTTTTTTTATAAGCAGCAAGGTCATTCAACAGAGAATCAATAACATTCTCACAAAATCCAAATTGCTAGTTCTGAATTTATACCTCAGGTGTACTCACATAACCTTTCTTAGTAGAATCGGCTACGATCAACACCTAGGTTGCAGCGGCGACTTTGGAATAGCTTCGGTATAAGAAACCATGAAAATCTCTTCTAGTTACCATGTTGTTCTTGTGTGATGAAACCCTAGAGAGATAAGTCACAGCTCTGCTCCATCTCGGCAACATCGTAGTTGCAATCTGTCAAATTCAAAACAAACATTTTACCAAAAATGTGGATTGAAGAAGAACCATTCGTGAATAACTGTGTCTGCGTGTATATATGAAGCAAATGGAGAACCTGTAAACAGAGAGCTAGAGAGAGATAGACAGAGATATGTGGATTGCAATCTGCTTTGCGTCTGTAATTTGAATCCTCAGACGATTGTTTGTCCCAGCTGCCATTGATGTAGGAGAGAGAGAGAGAGAGAGAGAGAGAGAGTGAGAAGAGAGACCAAACTTAGTGGAGGTGAAGTGATGAGATCGGGGGGAGAGAGAGGTGGGAATTTCTCTGTGATATATGGGTGTGGGAGTTGAGGGACCTTAGACATTATAAAATAATTTTGTGGATCTCTTCCATTACGAAAAGTGGGAGAGGGACCCTAGACCAATTTTCCCTAAGATTTTTATTCATATAAAATAGGTTTTAATTGGAGTTAAATTAAAAAATATATGATTTTTCAAATTTTTTGAGTTAAATATGCATTTTTTGCATACAACAGATTTTTTGGTGCTCAAAAACAGAAAATAAAATTTTTTTTCTTATAAATTAAATTTACATATTTAGATTGTACTCTCCACAAGCTTTTTATTGATATAAAATAGGCTTTAATCAGAGTTAAATTGAAAAATATACAAATTTTCAAATTTTTTAACTTAAATATTTATTTTCACTGTTATAATAATACTTAAAGATCACACGTGAGGAATTAAAAAGTCTCACTTTCATTAAAAGTATGATTAAAAAAATGAGAATAATATTTTAATTATAATTAATCTAATTGAATGGGCACCTTCCAAATAAATGTGATTATATATATTTTTTTAATCACAATTCCTATATAAATGTGATTGAATATATTTTTTTAATTTTAATTTTATATCTCTATAATAAAACAACACAAACTATTTTTAAAAGTGTTTATATTTATAATTGGCTCTTCCTTTTCGTCGACACCCACACTCCTCAGTCGCAACAACTACGGTAGCCACCATCTTAGCCTCACACAGCATTGCGAAGGTGAACACACACACACACATATATATATATATATATATGCTTCAGTTTTCTAGAGTTAAACTATTTGGAAAGCTTTGATAAAAATTTATCTTTGTATAGAATGAGAACCGCATGACTTTACCTAATTTGTCATCTATGATTGAATCTCCAAATTCATAGAAAAACTATTGTTCTCATACAGCAAAACTCCCTAATTTTTCACACCCCTAAAGCTTGTTTTATCAATGATTTTGAAACCCCATATGAAAAATCTAGATTAAGGCGAAAAAGCTCTTTTTGAGAATCTAGATACGTCCCATGTTAACCTGATTATTGATTTAGGCAATCCAATTAAAAATTATGCATCCATGATCAATATAGAGTAGAGAGAGTAAACACAAAACACCCATGACACGAAATATTTTTTATGTGGAAAAATCACAATTGGAATCCATAAACTTGTGATAAAAAACCACGAGCCCTTAACGAGACGAATAATCCACTATGAAAGAAAAGAGTACAAGAGATATCTTACAAAGGCCACTACAGGGCACATGCGTTTGTTCAACCTACGAGTAACACTACTTCCTCAACTGGATATCCGCTACGGTTGTCACATCGCCACAATGCCAATGACTCCGAAATCCACTGAAGTCTATAATCTTGGAATCCACCAAGAAGGTTCACCTTTGGAAGATGTGAAGAACTTTTTACAGCTTGATGATTATATTTGAAGCTCTTAAATGCCAATGAATCATCAAGCAAACATGAGACTATTACAAATAAATCTCACTACAAAGATCACTCTCAAACATTCAACAAAAACTCTCTTACAAAAATGTATCTCTCTCAAAAAATAATTCTCACTCATAAAAAAATCTCTCTCAAGGTTGAAAGTATTCAGGAGAGTTCGGAGAAAACACTTAGAAAAATCTCTGAGAGGTGCAAAACATTTCAGCCGAGCATGCCTTACATAGACCTGGGGGAACAGTACCATCGCAGGCGCAACTGATATGTTCGCTGGTGCGACTGGCCTGTTCACGGGCACTATATCCCTTCGTGGGTTGCAGGGAAAAATACTGAGAGTTTGGATTTCACACTCTTCAAATCGCGTGCGCGATATGATTTGTTGCGGGCGCGATGAGGCATGAATACTGAGGTGCTTTTGCAGATTATTTCTGCTGAAATTTTCCACAATGTTGGTCATGGACAGCCCATCCTTCTGACAAAACAACTTTCTTTTGCCCAACTTCTTGCACATGCCATCCATGCTTTTACACATGCATGCCTACAAAACTTTTGACTAAAAAATTAAACAAACCTTATCTCATATAAGACACAATGATAGCCTCTAATCTTCTCTTTTCACTTTTGCTTAACAGACATTTCCACTTCAAATTGTCTTGCAATTTGATTTTGATTGCCTCGAGAAAACAAAATAAATTTCCTACAGAAATTAATTAGAAAGATAGGAAGATAATAAAATAAAACAACTTGAATCAATAATTAAAATAAGTTTTGTCAAAAGAGGTATTGCCAAAACACAAATCATTAATTTCTTAGGATAAAAATCTTAACAATCTCCCCCTTTTGGCACTGCCGAGACAAAACTTCATAAAACATTCATAGATCTCTTGATTCAAGCAACAAACAGAACAAAAGAGATTAAATAGAAAAAACACAATTTTGTCTTTGGAACGGGTTTGCCAAATTAGATTGTAATGCACAATATTAGGAATGAAAATCCTAACACCATAATTTTTTATTTGGTTTTTAATTTATTTTGCCTATTTGTATTAGAGATTTTTAACCCAACGTTTTAGATTAGGTTCTTAATTTTATTTGCTATATTTTAGTCTGGTGTAGCGATTTTATCTGCATAACCTTAATGTGTGAGATTTTTATTTGATCTACTAGTATGTTGTCCATGAATTAGAATTTGCTTGTGTATATTTTCTAAACTGTTCATCTTAAATACAATAAACTTCTTAAGCATGTCAAGATATCTTGCCTTTGCTCATTTTTCTGGTAATAATTCAACAACACTTCTTTGTTAACAAAAGTGGTCATGTGAATGGTTATGAGTTCCTTTGTATCAGTTTGCTTTGTGTGATAGACCTACATGTGCACATGTTTGAGACTAATATCTAGAGATTGGGCCAAGCAAAAGGCATAAAGGTTTTGCAGAATCAATGTTGTAGGAATGATTTGGATGCCTGAAATTGACTTTATAGTAAATGTTTTTGTATGGTGAGGATGTTTTACAATGTGTTTGAATTGATATTTTTTTGCAACTGAAAGCCTTCTCTTTTTTTTTTTTGATTAGCCAAGAGAAAAGATTTTATTAATCAAAAGTAGATTAAGAAACTTACAAAAAGTGGGAACAAACACTGCATCATTGTCCAAAACATAGCATCCCAACTATGTTGGCACCCTATGCATGATTAATCATGAGCAATCCCACAACAAACCAGAAAACCAGAATTTGAGAGGTTCCAATATGGCTACACAAAAAGAAGCAGAACAGAGGAAACAGAGCAAAAGCTCAAGCCCCAGCACCATGCCTATACCGCTGCAAATTGAAGATCAGATTATAAACTAAAGGCCCTTTTTGAGGTTTAGGGACTTACAAAAAGATTTAGCATTTCTTTGTTTATTCGAGGGAATGAGTGGAAGGAGGACAGGGTTTATGAAATGATCAAGGAATTATCCATCCTATGCAAAATGGTTCCAAGCTTGAATGCTTGTTAAGTATCATAAGTGTGATTCATGAACTTCATTTCATATACAAAGCAATCACAAGTGAACCATAAGAATAGAGAGATCGAAAGAAAAACACCACCTGATAGGAGACAAAATCCTAAAAAATGAAAGCAACACACCACACCACTACCCTGCTAGAAGCAAAATCAAAACAAAACACATAAAATAGGACAAACAAACCCACCCAAAACTTAGATGATTGCCCTGTGGTTGAGATGACCAACGAAGACTCAGTTGAATCATTGCATTTCTCGAAAAACAAGCTTGGTTCTCTTGGCTTTTGGAACTCAGGACTAAACTCGTAGATGTCCAATAACAGTGGAGCCAAGTTCCCACGGAAAATCTTGTTCACCAACTGCCTGGAAATACAAAAATCAAGAAGATAGGATATTATACAATGTCATACGTGTTGATAGCATGCAAGATAGAAAGAGCTTGAGTGTGTCCATTATTCATGGTTGGATTACGCTGACCACAGAGCCTATAATCAACGCTGACCACAGAGCCTACTTGTTGATTGAGAGCTAGGATATATGTAATACAACAAGTGCGCTACTGCAGAATTTAAGACACATTATTGTATCTCTTAACCATGATAGAAATTATAGAGAATTGATACTTTTAAATTAGGCATATGGAAGTTTGTTTAATGGTAATTAGTAGAAAAGAGTAGCAAAATAGACTGGAAACGGGGTGAAATTGAATGGTATAAGAAGACAATTGAAAGGAAGAACATCATGCAATCCAACAATAAAAGGAAAAATAAATACTCAAGAGCTCGAGCAGTTGATGTCAAAGAGTTGTCCTAATTTAATCATGTAGAATTGATTTTGCGGTGTTGGCCTTTGCTTTGATAGCATCGTAGCAACTTGTTGCATGGTTGGCCGAGACAGTGGAGTGGTGTGTAAACATGCAAATGCTAGTTTCGTAACAACAACTACTTGCTCTGCCACTTGATTCCTCGGAGGTAGGAGGCGTTGGTCCAAGATGTCCTTCAAAAATATCCCTTGTGCAGTTGATGTTGATGATGAGGACGAGAATGATGATAAAGAGGAGATTAGATCACCGGGATGCTTCCCCATAATCACTTCCAGTGCAAGCACCCCAAAACTATAAACATCGCACTTCTCATTCACTTCTATTGTATAAGCAAGTTCTGCCAAAAATTAAAAATGCCCAACAAAAAATAGTTAAATAAAGAAAGGGTGGAAAAGTAAACAAAAATGCTCCTGGCACATTTCCAAACATTGATTAAATTTCTTGGAATTCTTTGATGCGAATAGTTTAGGGTTCCAAAAGAAGGAAATTATGTAAATGCTTGATGAATGCCAATGCCGAAATTTCAGAATATGAAAACCTGGGAACTATGAATATCTTAAAATAGGATAGTTAGTTCATTGAAGCAACTACCTACCTTTCCATACATGATTTTCAAGACATCAATAGGATTGTTAGTCACCAATATTAACTAAAGTCTTTCAAGTGTTATTAGTCTTTCTGATTTGACGACCAACCTAAAAAATTTGAAAGAAATAAAGAATTAATGAAAATTTGGTCACTGCCAAATGTTAATTGTAGAAAGATAAGTTTTTAAGCAATGAAGCTTTTGAAGGACAGTTGACAAAAATGTGCATTTTGTAGTCACTGTAGAAATAGGTAAAGTTGAAAGATGACGAATCAATCTATTGACAAGAGGATAGATTATCGCCTTTCTTGCTTTACAAACACTTTGGCACAACTCAAATATTATTAACAATTTTTGAAATTCAGAATGCCTAATTTTTTAACTGGAATTTCAAATGTAAATTAAATTTACTTGCAAGCTTGCAAATATCTTCAATTTTGAAAAATCAATCAGTTTTTTTAATTCTTGTAATTGAGTATCACATGCAATTGTAAAATGTCAACTTGAAAATGCTCAATGGCAATGTGATCTCTTTGTTGTACGACTTCCATCGAATGTAATTAAGATCTCAAAGAAGAAGAAGAAAGAAAGACATAATTTAAATTAAACAAGAAAAAGAGAAAGAATAGAAAATATAAGTTGTTTTAAAATAGAAATGGAGAAGAGGAAGAAAAAGTGAAAATGGAAATTGAGTTATGGGCAGAATTGAAATAACAAAAAAGATAGAGGAAAATGAAGAACAAGAAGAGAAGAAGAGAACTAAAACAAACAAGAAGAATAAGAGGCAGAGAGAGAAAGGAAACCTAGAGTTGAAGAGTAACAATTGAAACTTAAAACTGCAAATTGAGTTAAAGAAAATCAATAAAATCTTGGAAGGGTGAGCCTATATAATTTTTAAATATCGATAACTAATACTATTATATTTAAGGAGTTATTTCAAAATTTTGGGGTGGCGGTCACCCTGCCAACCCCCTCAATCCATCCCTGCACAAGTGGTAGGTCATTAGAGCGGGTCAAAGTCTCAACTAAAATCATAAGTACTAAATAAAGGAAACACATGGAATCCTACTGAAATAATCATTTTCTTAAATGAACGTTAAACAAAGAGAAAATATTCCATGTCTTGCAAAAAAGAGTTCTTATTTTTTACTTTTTGGTAAACCTTGACGACATAGGGAGAAATTTATTAATAATCTAAAATTGAGAGGGGTAATGAGCCTTACCTCTCAAGCAATAGAAGAAAAAAAATATTCATGCAAAAGAATTGGTAAATTACACTTTACATCCTTATACTCTACATCTAATCCCACCTTACCTTCTGACCTTTTAATTGTTTTAGTCAACCCTCCAGACTTCGAGTGAAATTGGAATTAGGCCCAATTGTATAACCTTGTTTCAAAAACTAACAAAGAATAGCCATGTGATAGAATTAATAGAACACCTACACTTTTATCAAAATCTCACTTTATTCCTTATCAACCTGTATTTTTACCAAAATCTCATTTTAAAGCAATGTTATATACTTAGGTCCAATTGGAACTTGAAGTCTAGGGACTGACTGAAATAATTTAAAAGTCAAGGGGCAAAGCAATAAATGTTGTAAACTATAGGGATACAGTGTAATTTGGCCCAAAAAAGAATCAACTTGAATATATATATGTACAAAGTACCCAACCTATCTAAAGCCACAACAGGCTTAACCAATCTACAAAGCTCTTAAAAAGTAGAGAAATAAGAATTATTATCACAACCCCAATTAGCTAACACATCTGCAACATTATTTACTTACTTCAGTGCATATTTCTCATCTAAAATGGCTTTTCAGTAGCTATGCTCATCATACATGAGAATTTAAGGGTATGCATATTAGAAAAAATGGAATAACAAGCTCAAATCTAGCAATTTGTCATCATTAGTAAGTTAAAATGAACAAACACTACATGGGTAATTTAATTGGAAATAAATCATTGCAATAGAAAAATATATACCAGGAGCAACATAACCAAAGGTCCCAGCAAATGAAGTCCAATTGGATGAGTTGAGATTCATAAATCTAGCTATGCCAAAATCAGAGATGTGAGCCACATACTCCAAATCAAACAAAACATTCTTGCTTGATATATCTCGATGGATGATTGGTTGAAAACAATCATGGTGCATATAAGACAGAGCATTTGCCACACCTTTAACAGTGTTCACTCTCTTAATCCAATCAAAGACTACTATATCATCGTCCATGCTTAGTACATTTCCTAAGCTTCCCCCTTCCAAGAACTCATAAACCAAAAACGGGTGCCTTGGGTGTGAACAATAACCATACAGCTTTACAATGTTGTGATGTCGAATCTCAGTTAATGCACGGATCTCACTTGTAAACCCTTTTAGATTAGCCCAGTCATCATCAAGTGTTGCATGAAGTTTCTTCACAGCAACTACTTGACCACTTGGTAGGTCAGCTCTATAAACGGTACCATATCCTCCCTCTCCAACACAATATTTGGCACTGAAGTTCTCAGTGACTTCAATGATGTTTTCATAGACCATTTTTCCATCATAGCTCCATATTGCAAAAACATTATCATGGTTTACTCGTGATGGCTCATTTTTTGTGTTCCTCACTTTCTTACGAAAAGCCATGAAAATGCCAAGAACCATTAGCAAAAGAAACAAAATTCCAAAAACAAGAAGTACAGTTAGTAACATAACTTTCTTGCCTTTTTTTTCAACATCCCCATTGTTCAATTTTGTCAAGCAAGCCTTCAGACCAGTAGCATTACCACATAAACCTTTATTACCTTTGAGTGCCTTGAATGGAGCCTCTTGGAAGGCCTTGATGTCAGGAAGAGGACCCTCTAACTGATTGTATGACACATCAATGGAAGTAAGACTTACCATTTTATTGAAAGATGATGGTATAGAACCAAAGAACTCATTGTGGGAGAGATTTAACCTTTCTAAGCTTCGCAATTCTCCAATCTGTTGTGGTATCTTACCAATTAGCAAGTTATTACCAAGATCAAGACTTTGAAGAGTGTTGATCTGGCCTATTTCAATGGGAATGCTTTCCCTAAATCTATTATTGCTCAAATTTAAGCTCAACAGTTTTAAGTAGTCTCCAAGTTCTCTAGGGATTGAGCCACTTAGATCATTTGCTGCCAAGTTAAGGTTTTCTAAATTGGACAACTTACTTAATTCTGGAGGAATATTGCCTAATAGATAGTTATCATCCAGCTTAAGGTTGAATAGTGAAACCAACATTCCCAATTTCAATGGGATCTCTCCAACTAGATGATTTGAAGAGAGATCAAGAACGGATAGCTGAGTTGCCCCTACTAATTCAGATGGTATCTTACTAGAAATTTTATTGTTAGACATTTTGAGACTAGTTAAATTGTGGCATTTTCCCCAGTTTTTAGATAGCTCACCATAAAAATTGTTATGACTCAAATCAATGTAATCCAAGCTTGGGTATACGCCAAAATCTTCTGATATATTGCCCGACAGTTGGTTTCCATCAAGCCTGACTCTATATAGGCTATGGCAATTTTTCAAGCTTTTTGGGATGGGACCTGTGAAATTGTTGTCAGCTGTAGCTAATTCTGTAAGTAATCCAGTAAAGCATAAGTTTTCTGGTAAATGACCAATGAGCTTGTTGGAACCTATTTGAAACCATTTCAAATGTGTAAGATTGTTCAATCTTGGAGGAATAAAGCCTGTGAGTTGGTTATCAATGAACATCAAATAACCAAGTTGTTTTAAATTTCCTATCTCTGAAGAAATGGAGCCTGATAATGAATTTAGACTTAAGTCTAATACATTCAACTTTGTCAAGTTCCCTATAGATGCAGGGATTGAACCCATGAGGTTGTTCATTCCGAGTTCGAGATCAACGAGAGACCTCATCATCCCAACTTCTCGAGGGATGGATCCGGAAAGTTGGTTCACATAGAGGTACAGAGTGGTTAAGTTGCTCAAGTTCCCTATAGATGTTGGGATTGAACCCGTGAGGTTGTTCATTTCGAGTTCGAGATCAACGAGAGACCTCAACATCCCAACTTCTTGAAGGATTGATCCAGAAAGTTGGTTGTCATGAAGGTACAAAGTGGTTAAGTTGCTCAAGTTCCCTATAGATGTTGGGATTGAACCCGTGAGGTGGTTCCTTGAGAGTTCAAGATCAACGAGAGACCTTAGCATCCCAACTTCTTGAGGGATTGATCCGGAAAGTTGGTTCACATAAAGGTACAGAGTGGTTAAGTTGCTCAAGTTCCCTATAGAGGTTGGGATTGAACCCGTGAGGTTGTTCCTTGCGAGTTCGAGATCAACGAGAGACCTCAGCATCCCAACTTCTTGAGGGATTGATCCAGAAAGTTGGTTGTCATAAAGGTACATAGTAGTTAAGTTGCCTAAGTTCCCCATAGATGCAGGGATTGAACCTGTGAGACTGTTCATAGACAGTTCAAGATCAAGGAGAGACGTCAGCATCCCAACTTCTTGAGGAATTGATCCGGAAAGTTGGTTGTCATAAAGGTACAAAATGGTTAAGTTGCCCAAGTTTCCAATTGAAAAAGGGATTGAACCCGTGAGATTGTTAGTATACAAGGTGAGCATATTGAGACAGCTGAGCAATCCTATTTGTTGAGGGATGGAGCCACCGATTTGGTTTCTATTCATATGCAAGAACCTTAGATTAGTTAGTTGGCCTATTTCGGTCGGAATTGTTCCAGAGAGATTGTTGAGAGGCAAGCTAAGGTAGGTGAGTCTCCAAAGGCTACCAATATGGGGAGGGATGGTCCCATAAAGTGAGTTGTTAAAAAGTTCAAGAGTGAGGAGATGAGGAAAAGGTGAGAAATTAAGATCAGAAAAAGTACCTTTCAAACCATAATCGTGAAGGTCTATATGGGCAACTCTACCGACCTTGTTGCAACCAATTCCAAGCCAAGTGCAATGGTTGCTTCCAAGCCATGAGGACAAGAGAGTTTGAGTTTGGTTGTGAAGGCTAGCTTTCCACGTCAAGAGAGCCGTGGCTTCACTTGCTTGTTTTCCAGTTACGGAAGAAGCAAAAGCAGCATAATCAAAAAAAGTGGGCAATGCAAGGATGATAAGGCAGAGTAAAAGGGCTGGGAAAGAAAGAAAGTGGTTGGGAGGTGTATTGGCCAAGAATGTCATTGTAGGTTTGTTATTAATAGAATAGAAAGCTATGAAAGACAGTAATAGATGGAGGGATGAAGAACTGGAAGAGCATGGAGAGGTATTTATAGATAATAGGGCATGGAGAGATATTTCTTTCGATAGTTTTGGTTTGGATCCTCCACTAGGAAGTATAGGCTCAATTTTGTCAAATTGATGACCAATAAGATCATGGCAGATTGATGCATATGAAAGAGATAAACCAGAATCCAAGTACCCGATCAAAAGATATCTTAAGAAATTCTGTCTATAATACAACGGGATATGGATCATATCCCCTCCCGTCACTGTTTAAGAAATTCTGTCTATAATACAACGGGATATGGATCATATCCCCTCCCATCACTGTTTTGGACTGGACGGGGCTGTGTCTTATCATAGATTCTGTTTTAATAATTTAAATCATTTATTTTATTGAATATTTTATGTATTTTATTTATACAAAAAAATAGGTGAATCTAATAATTGTAACTAGTTTAATTTATCATATTTTTTACAAAAAAATAAAAAAATAGACACCAAAAAAATGAACCATATATTTTTTTTATGACAAATATGATAAATTGAACTAGTTATAGTTATCAGATCGACCTAATTTTTTTTATGGATAAAATACACGAAATATTCGACAAAATGAACGGTTTGAATTATCAAAACGGAGATTATCAAAATGGTATTGCTTAAGGAAGTGGAAATCTTGCCTAGAATAAGAATTAAACCATTCAACTCCTAGTGCTATCGTCAATTGATACATATTACAACATATAAAATTTTTAAGAACTAAAGTTTTTTATTCCAAAAAGTTTATAAAAAAAAGAAAAGAAAAATTGCAAAAATCCTCGTGAAAAAATTGTTACAAATTTTTTTAAAAAAAACTTTAGCGACAAAAATTAAAAATGTCACTAATAAATGCATTTTTAAAGAAAAAATTTCATACCAAAAGGTTTATCTTTGTGATAAAAATTTTAATCTCAAAAGAATAATAATTCATTATTAAATATCTAATTTTGTCTTAAATATACAACAATGACATTTTTTGTAACTAAGATATTTCAGTTTTAAAAAGTGGTTTTGTTGCTAAATTTTTATTTCAAAAATCTTAATTTGTTGCTGTGTAAATTAGTCATTGTTAGTTTTTCTTTTAATTTTAATTTAAAGTGTTTATTTTTTTTAATTTTATTTTTGGACAAATTACAAAAAAAAAAAAAACTAGTTTAAAAAAAAACTAGTTTGGTGTGTTTTTCAATTGAAACCCCACAATTAAAATCCTGATATTACTTCCTTGTCACAATTAATGTCCCCGTCCATCTTTGTGTGTTGACATCAGCCCTATGTCACATTGACATCATCCACTCCCCTAAAAAAATAATTTGAAATTGTCGCTTTAGAGATTCAAACTTTGAAGGATCAAGTACTTAGCAAGCACCTTAACCCACTTTATCATAACAATTTTTATGCTAAATGATTCTCAAACATATTATTTAAATTATTTTAACTTGGTCTTCTTCAACCTTTTCTCCGTTTGCCGGATTGAACTTTCAAGCAACTTTCCAGCGAAATTTCAAGCTGCACATGGAGGCGTGTAGCGTGAGACCTCCTTTTGAGCTGATTTTTCTAGGTTTAGACTCCCCTCACCGAGACGCACCTCTTGATATACTCAAAAAAATTTACAATATTATAATCAATTTTATTTTTATTTTTAATTTTTATCATTATATATTTTTATTTTTATTTTTATTTTGTTTACTTTTTTGGGTAAAGTACTAATAAATTCCAAACAATGATCTTATAAACTATTTGGTCCTCTATTTTTTCTTATGGACCAAAAAGTCTCATTCTAATGTGAATTATATAAAGCGCCAAAGTATAAATGCGCGTATGTTATGTGTTGAAGGATAAATGTGAGTTTTCTTATAAGATTGAAATTACTAAATGTAACACTTCAAAAAAAACTCCGTAGTATACTTTTTTCAGACATAACATTTCAATA